TAAACAAATGTACATAAACCAATGCTTAGTTTATAGTTAACTCCGCCTGTAACTCCTCCTGATGCTACTGCCGGTCCCAAGCCCAGATAAATAAGGGAAGTTCGGCATGGCGTTTAGCGACCCCATCCCGTACAAAACCAACTCGCTAAAAATACGCTAACCTAGTCAATAGTTGGTACTGTTTTTGTAGATGAAATAAAACGCGGAAATATAAACTGTTTTTAATATTTGTCAACATGAGATGTTTGGAAACTTTTTTTTATCAATTTAGACTTATATCTCTTGCTACAGTTAGTAATTACTACTGAATACTTACTTATATGATTGTTGGTGAGTGGTCTATGCTCTTCCACGAAGGGTAACAGGCGTAAGTAATTAAGTAAGTAAATAACTTAAATCCAACATAATAAAAAGAAGCTGGTTATACTCTACTATTGACTTATTAAGAGTGTACACGCATATAAGCATGCAAAAAATATATTGGCTCAAAGGCCAAATTATAATTAGTAACTAAGATACATTTAAAAAATCAATGATATACAAAGTAACTAATTTTTTTTCCGAAAATATTTTTTATCGCAGCCCTATTCTTTAAATCTCCTTCTATAAAATTTTGTGTCCTTCTTCTTCTGCATCTTCTCCTTACTATTATTATTACCCATAGTAATAAAATATAAAGTGTATTATTATACTTTTAAGCATATAGAAAGTAATCAGAACTAAGAACTATTCTAAACTTATTCCGTTTAAATGGAAAGGGGAACAACTAAAAAAAAACTACAAAAAAAAGTAAACGAAGAAATAGTTTTTTCTTAGCCTAATTTTCCACTCATTCCACACCCACCCCACCCGAAACACCCCCTCCACGGCTCCCTTATTCCAGCGTATATATTTCATAAACAAAATGAAAGTAAACAACAATAATAATGAATAGTGATAGTGATGATGATGACAGTTGGTTCTTGTTTATTTGTATTCAATGTATCAATGTTTACTTATTTTTATTCTATTTAAAAATCAAATTTTATACCAATCTATTCATTACTATGACAAAGAATAACTTTAGATGAGGGTATCAGTATAGAAAACTAATAAAAAAAGGATTGAAAGTGTTTTTTTATGATCTATGTAAAGGGATTTGTTGACATAACAGAAGTTTCACAGTTCAGATTATGAACTGATTTTAGCTAAATCATTATTTAAAAGTACTAAGGGGGGGGGCATTTCGTCATAGTATATGACTCTTTAGTTGGATTTAGTAATATGCATCAGTCGAAAGTTATGTAGTGCTCATGTTTATGGTACAGTTCAGAATGCCCTTAATTTTAGGATGGGAGAGTTATTTCCATGGTTCGATGGTAACACCTAGTCAAATATTTGATCTATCTATTTTCCAGCTCTGTATTTATTTATTTATTTATTTAAACACATAAATATTGGTTCAAAGGAGCACCAGATATATATGACCCACACAAATCTCATTTGATTTGTGTGAGGGCTGTGATACTGACCAGGTGCCCAAACTGAAGCAGGTGATTTTCTTAGGGGACCACACCCGGAGCCTTTGACCTAAAGGTCTAACCCACAAGCATCGTGAGAAGATGCAGGGTCATGGTAGCCGGTGACCAACGATTGATTCATACGCCATTTGTTCCCTTAGGACTTTCTATGTCCACCAGCCCGGTTACAGCGCCGAACATTCCCTTTTCGTCCTCTCAATATTGTAAACAACATCTCCACCAGGAGAAATCAGTTTGTGGGACTTCCCTGTCAAAGGCTATATACGCGTGGCTATGTGAGAGCATTTCGAGAGAGAGGGCGGACTCTTCGCACTCTCTGCCATACCAGGGCATTTGGGGGCTCTGTATATAATTCAGTGAAAAAAACCTGTTTCACATTAAAAATTATAACAGTTTATATTCAAAAGTATAAATTAGAAGTCTACAACGTATTCAGATATCTAATATTGGCACTGTGTTAAACGAAGAAATCGTAGTGTCTAGCATATTTATACTGTTTAGTGAGACACAAGAACTGATTAATTAAAAAATAGTGTGTACAATTTTTTTGGGGGTAGATAAAGAGAAAACTGTATCAAGTGTACTGATAAAAAAACTTTTGCAAATCAAATTGAGGAAAATCATAGTGACTATTGAAGGAATCAGAAGGGGTTTTGTGGAGATTTAGTATTTTCATAGTTGAAAGTATGAGGCTATTGAAGCTAGACCCTCATGGAAAGCCTAACCAGTGGAGTTCAAACCACGTCTGTTGTGAGATAACAACTCACTGAAGACAATTGGTGAACGGTTGCTCAAACTTCGTGGATCAGTTGAAGTTAAAAATTAACACCGTTGGATGCCGGAAGGCTCAGTGGTCTATCGGTTAACTGCTCTGGCGCGAGACTGGTGGGTCCTGGGTTTGAGTCTCGCGAGTGCGGGATCATGGATGCACACTGTTGAGGATTCCCATAATAGGACAAAACAGCGGTCCAGTTCTTCCAGGTTTTCCAGCTTTAATTGACTCACGCTTTTAAATATTAAAGGAATGTTCGTTAAATATTTCGTTAAAAAACTATAATCTGTTACTATATCACGCAACTGTTTTAGTAAATTACTGAATAAAATTTATGATCCTATATTATGATTATTATCTTAAGTGATTAACTGTCAGGGAGTTAGAGACAATCGTTACAAACTCATAAAACTCCCTTCCGCCCACCTACACTAGTAAATCAAATATGTAATATCTATTTGAGTGATTAAGGATATTAGATCTGAACCAGTCAGTTAATTCTCTCTTGTTGAGACAGAAGATTCCCTATTAGATAATTTTCCATCAATTTGAGTAGAAGATGTATAAATATTCAAAGATTAATTTGAGTAATCCATAAAAACTAAAAGTCTATTACAAGTATCCAAGTCATTAAAAAGTAAAATGACAATTCCTTTAAACGTGAATGTGAACCAAAGAATACTGAATCACCACTGATCTAAATCTTAAGTACTTGACAAGTTGCTTTAACGTTCTAGATTCAATCTATGAACAGATTACTGGGAAGTCATATACTAAATTGAAAATGAAAACCCCTTTTTTAAACCATCAAACTGCTAACACTTCAAATAACTAATATCACTCATCAAATCATAGGGTTAGGGTTATGGTTACAATTATCTGTGCTCTTTTGGTTAACATTATTCCATCAAATAATAACATTTTCCAGGATCCCAATTCTGATATGCGATAAACTCAGTTGTAAAAAACGTTTAGAGAAGAAAACTAGAATATTACCATTTAATTAATTAATCATTTAATTTAATTAATTTAAACAAAAACTATCCTTAAATTCACTTGGTATTGTTTGTTTGAATCTTCCCATCGATTTTGTTAGGACTACAACTGGTCAGTCTCTAATTGGCATATGTGCATACTGTGCGTATTGCCTAGATATACCTTAATTCACAAGCATGGTTAGCAGAGATGGATAGTGGCTAGTCCCAAATGGGAGTCCCAAATAGGACGAAACGCGCGTCCTGGATTCCACTGCTAGCCACTATCCATCTCTGCTAACCAAAAACTATCCTTAGTTTAGGGTTGTGGGGATTGTTGAGCTTAAATTGATATCATGAACGGATCATTAACACCGTTGAATGGCGGATCAGTGGTCTAGAGGTTAAGTGATCGCGCACGACATTGAAGCTCCTGGGTTCGATTCCCGTGTACCATTTCATTCTAGTACGAGAGTCATCAGCAATACTCACTCATGATCTAGCACGCAGAAATTTAACACAAAGCTTTTGGTCTCACTTACGAACTTTTAACCTCTAATTAATTGAGAGTCAGTCACTCACAAAGTAGAACTTCGTACGTACGTACATCAGTTTGAGTTGCCATACCACATTAACACAGAGATGCAGTTATCGATTCAAATCCCATAGTGGTAGAAGTAGTAAGAGCATAAGCATTAATGTGAAAGATTAGGGGTTGAAGATGTTATTAAAGGAGTATAATACAGTGAAATAAATTTGGAAAGAGAAAAAGGATAGGGACATGAAGAATTCAGAAGATGAAAACTAGGGAGAACACAAAGAGTGGATGCACCAGTGCTATTGCAAACGATTTTGAGCCATGTCATTCCAGGTCTCTAACCATCGATTTCTATCATCTCGCGAATCCCAACTAGGTAGTCTATACCAAACAACATAGCTCAGTCCAACTGTTAGTGACTTCATGGATTTGTGTCACGTTTTGGTCTGGCCGCCCCTATTTTTCTTACAATCTACTCCTACACCATAAAACATTGACTCGTAACTCAAAAACGAAACAACGTAAAACATAATAAACAAAGAAATATTAAATAGCAAGTATTTTTTTATCTCTTCTATTTTACCAACTTATGAAAGTTTCAAAATATTAGCTTAGTTACTAGGCAGTACTGTGTAATAGTGGTTATAGTGGTTAAGCAATCATAAACAATCACATGGTTTCTCTTCTTAAATCTATATTCTCAATATTTTCCCATGACTAACGATTTCTGGTTATTAGGTAAACAATATGTTAAAATGAATGTAGACTTCAGGTTGTGTCAGAATTTCTAGAATCAAGTGTACAACAACAAACCTAACGATTAGTAAATAACAGTAGCACTGTATTAAAAATAGACTAAAATGAGAAATGTGGACCACTAGATTATAATACAGTGGTTTAAAATCGAAATTCTAGTATTGGACTCCATAGTAGTGACCGTCAGCGAACAAACAACCGGAAATAGGACCCACAGTCTTCGATCTCACATCCAGACTTTCATCAGTTGAAAGGTTAGACAATTGCGCGCGAGATCATAGGTCCTGGCTTCGGTTCCCGGCCGTGTGGTCATGGATCCAAACTACTATGAGGTCCCATAGTAAGATGAAACTGTCATATGTTAACTTCGGGTTTTCAATGCTTATATGACTTAGGTAGGTTTGTGATATAATAAAATATTTTATGAATAAATAACTTACTTGAATCATTAGGATCTTCAATTGATTCTGAAGTATGAAATTGCATACACATACTTGTTTTACCGACTCTAGCCGTGCCAATTACTTGAACTTGAAGTAAACGATCATCAAAGAATAGTTCACCTCCAGATGGTGATTCTAATTTATTAGGTGAAGTATCTGGACTTTCTGTTACAATTGCCCATGATTTAGAACGTAGTCTAGTCTCTGGTATAAATCCTCTAACTGGACTACTTGCACGCTTACTATACATTTTATGTAAACCATCATTTGAAGCTCTTGGTGAACTAGCCAAAGTTGTAGTGATTGCCGGGATCTCAATTACCTCATCACTTAGTGATGATTCAGAAAGATTTTGACTACTTTCAGGTATGGTATGTGGATAAACTACTGATCCTCGTGAATCACCCGATGGACTCCTAGATGCAAATATCTCTATCTGTGGAACATCTCTATCACCTTTACTAATAACATCACCACGTTTATTTCGTTCAAAACGTCGAACACGCAACATTTGTTCATCTGTCTGACTGACTGAATGACGACTAGGTGAATATTGAGAGAATGGATGATTTGTTGGATGTAATGTTGGAGCTGATGGTCTTGATTTATGTTTTTCTTGACTTCTTGTACGTTTATAACTAGTTTCTTTCATAGATCCTGGTCTATCACGTGTAGTACCAAGTCTATACATTGCTGGAGAACATGAATAAGGACTTGTAGATTCACGACTTATATCTTGATTTTGCCAATATCTTTGTACATCAGTAGCTCGTAAAACATTTGTATCATTTTGTTCATTATAATAACGTGGACGTTGTTGTTTTTGTCTTGAATTAGAACTATAATTAAATTGTGTTAATTCATTTGGATTATCCCATTGTGGACTACATCTTATTGGTGATCTAGTTGCACTAATTTCACCACTAAAACTACTTGGTTGAAATGATGTTCTACGTTTAGGTTCACGAAAACTTGATGCACGTTTTAATGATTCTACATTTAATGTTGATAAATAATCAGATTGATTTATAGGTGAATTATTATTATTATTATTATTTCCACGATATAATGGTTCTGTAATTTGTATTGTTGGTGCTAAACTATCTCTTGGTGAACGTTGGGCTATTTGACAAAATCGTTCAAAATCATCAGATATTTCATAATTATCCATATTATATGATGATGATGATGATGATTAATGAATGTTAAATTGCATAGGAATCAATGAGGTTCACAGTATTCTGCATAGAGATAGAAATCTATAGTACAGTTGTGAAACGATATAATGAATATTTCGATGCCTTTTGTTTATTCTTTTATATTTCTTTATACTCAGTGAAGGTGAAATTTCTTTTTTTTTTTATATCTAAAGACATAATCTAACCAATCAAATTGTTTCTTGTTGTTGACCTCAAAAAAGGGGGTAAAACATACAAACAATTTGTAAGACATATATATAAATGTACATGATAAACTTCTCATTTATTTTTGGAGGGGGGGAGGGGGTACTTGTTGGTAATTCACTTTATATATTAATATCATCCTAGAAGCATGTATGTGTAAGTTTATTTGTTGAAATAAATAGTGTATGTCCGTCTAACGTTCTATTTGTGTCATAAAATTTATTTCCCAATTAACATCTTATTAAAACAAATTAAATTATAAATTCATTTGGTATTGCTGGCTTTGAATCTTCCCATTGATGTTTAGGACTGCAACTGATCATTCTCTCATTGACATATGTGCATACTGTTTGGATTGCCTCGATATAACCTTAATTCACAAGCATTCTAAGCAAAAAGGGATAGCGGCTAGCAGTGGAATCCAGGACACTCATCTCGTCCTATATGGGACTCGTCAGATGGATGTACCTGCATCTCAGAATTGATGTTCACTCTGGGACTCAAACCCAGTACCGTCCACTTCAAACGCCATCATGTTATCCACTCAGCTACTGATTCCTGATAGCCACTTGCTTGTGCAATGGGGTGAAGTTTAAATTCATTTAGTATTGTTTGTTTGAATCTTCCCATTGATATTTAGGACTGTAATTGATCAGTCTCTCATTGACATATGTGCATACTGTGCGTATTGCCTTTATAGCTCCTTAATTCACAAGCATTATAGGCAAAGATGGATAGTGGTGTTTGAAGTGGGTTTGAGTCCCAGAGTGAACATCAACTCCGAGATGCAGGTACATCTAGCTGACGAGTCCCAAATGGGACGAAACGCGTGTTATGGATTCCACTGATAGGCAATATCCATCTTTGCCTATAAATTAGGATATATATTTATTTCTTGATGTGTTCATTATCCATATGAAGGAAAGTTATACCGTTGTAGGATCTGTGATGAGAACCATTGACCATAGAATGTTATTTTAAAGCTGGTGTTTTAGTTGGTTGTTTTTAGAAAAATGTTTACATCAATTAACCACATCAGATACACAGAAAGGTGAACATAAATAAGTTCCATTTACAAAATGATCAAGATTGAGGGTAGACTTTAATATGATTCATCATAAATACTACATAAAAGGTTAAACAATGTTGATGACTATCACACCTAAAATATGAACTGTTGAAGGATTGACGGTGAAACCATACGGTTAAAGAGGCTTATTTTAAATACTGAAAGAAAAGGATTATATTAGAGCATTGAAATACATGGACTGTGGTTAATAGTACAATCTAACTCATAATTTGTGGTCTACTTCTGTTGGTCCTTCACGACTCCCTGGCTGGGGTCCAAGAGATGGTGCAACACAGTGGTTAGAGACGTTATCGGATATGGCTCAGAATAGAAGCCAGTGGCGATCCTGCTGTAACTTTCTTTTACTTTCTTCATAAAGAGTGGTTCTAACTTTCTTAACTGAAAGAGTCTTCTGGTTGTACATTTCAGTTCCCCCCATCATTACTCTTCTCTTTTTTCATTCTATTTTTTTTCTTTTATATATATGCATCTTACCCCTTTCTCTTCCCATTCTCATTGTTTTGTGTGGCGCATATATATCTGGTCCCTCTTTGTACTAATATGTATATGTTTAAATAAATAAATAAATAAACTCGTACATTTGTGCTACTTAGATACATAATGATTCCATAGTATTATTAGCTCTTGTAACTATATGGATAAAATGATTCTTTGAAGATATTAGCTCCTTGAACTGTTTATCGTCAGTTTACAGATTGATTTAGCTGAAGACAATCGAAAGATATTTCTAACTGCAATAAATTACTGACCATAATTTTGAACGTTGCATGATACATGTGAAGTTATCATCTTTAAGATTTAACAATAATTATGTGGTTTATTTCAAATGCTGATAAGGCTTGTGTATTCAATTCAAACTCAGCAAAGACAAAGTACATTGATCCAGATCCATAGTCTCTGAATCAACTTTTAACAATGTAATGAATCCATCAAATAATTAATGATGCATTGAAACTTCTGGTTAGCGTTTCTATAGCGAGTTGGTTTTCATCATTGATGAACACGGTGGATCAGATGCAGATGTAAGGGCACGGATCGGCAAAGCAAGAGCAGCATATTCACAATTGAGAAACATCTGGAACTCAAAACAATTGTCAACCAACACCAAGATCTGAATTTTCAATACAAATGTCAAGGCAGTTCTACTGTATGGTGCGGAAACTTGGAGAAATATCAAAGCCATCATCCAGAAGATACAAGTGTTTATTAACAGTTGTCTACGCAAGATACTTCGGATCCGTTGGGCAGACACTATCAGTAACAAGCTACTGTGGAGGGAAACAAACCAGATGCCAGTGCAGGAAGAAGCGCTGGAAGTGGATGGGTCACACATTAAGGAAATCACCCAACTGCGTCACGAGGCAAAGCGTCACATGGAATCCTGAAGGCCAAATGAGAAGAGGAAGACCAAAGAACACATTACGCCGAGAAATGGAGACAGACATGAGAAAAGTGAACAAGAACTGGATAGGACTAGAAAGGAAGGCCCATTGTAGAGTGGGTTGTAGAATGCTGGTCTTTGGCCTATGCTCCATTGGGAGTAAGTAAGTAAGCATTGAAACTTCAGATAGACATTCGTCATTTTACCTACTAACTGATAAGTTATTTAGAAAACATGAAGATGTTGAGATTAAAACAACCACATTTATAAAAGAGTTTCATAGTGTATATCACGTTACTGACCTTAATTGAATAGCCATTGGAAATGAGGGAGAAAAGGACAAATATCTCATCTCAACTTAGTATTGTTCTTCAGTAGTCAGTGATCCAAAACTAAAAATTTCTACAAAACTCTACGAAACCCTTAAACTGTTATAGAATTTTGATCTGTTCAATAATCTGACCAAAATAACCGGAAAAAGAAGTTTCATCAATATAATGCATAGTCTAAAGTTCTTATATAAGTTGGATGACTTTTGAATAACAACAGTTCAAAATAAGTGAATATGAACTCAGCAAAACAATTTATACGACAGTATAAGAGATAGTCGAATGAGAAAAGATATCAATGAATAGTTTTTCCTATAACATAGAGTAACCATACACGAAGCTACATGTATCTCACCGGATGACACCAAAGGTAACCAGATAAACTGTATTTGTATTAAAAATGCAAAAAAAACAACACCCATTTCATCCACACCAACAACATCAATACTTGTTCATTTACAAGAAAACTTTCACTGTTTACTCATCGGTAACAACAAAATTCCATTTACATACAGTGTGGGATAACTCCATCACGCAAGCATTATCAACAAATGTAGTCACATAATAACATATTCAATGAACAATCTAAACAACTGTTGTCAGATGGAAACAGGTGGAAATGGATAAGTGAAACAACAAATTCAAATCAATTCCACTTACAATTCAAAATGGTGCAATTGCATTTCTATCTTATCTCTTGTTACCGCAATAATTGTAGATAAGTTCAATGGATTCTAATCATGCATATTAATACGTTCCAACAATACAAAAATGTGTAACTATACTATTTTCCACCTGAATAATACACACTGTCGATGAAATAATTCCGATCAAACCATCAAGGTAAAAGAACACATTTAACTGATTCGACTAACTAAATGCTTTCAAACAATTCTGTGAAGTTCATTTAAGACTTTAAGTAAACAATATGATCATATTTGTAAATAGAATTAGGGGTGGAAAAATGTAAACAATGGTAGATATAAGCAGAGATGGATAGTGGCTAGCAGTGGAACCCAGTTTGACACACGTTTCGTCCTATTTGGGACTCGTCAGATGGATGTACCTGCATCTCAGAATTGATGTTCACTCTGGGACTCGAACCCAGTACCGTCCACTTCAAACGCCATCATGTTATCCACTCAGCTACTGATTCCTGATAGCCACTTGCTTGTGCAATGGGGTGAAGTTTAAATTCATTTAGTATTGTTTGTTTGAATCTTCCCATTGATATTTAGGACTGTAATTGATCAGTCTCTCATTGACATATGTGCATACTGTGCGTATTGCCTTTATAGCTCCTTAATTCACAAGCATGGTAGGCAGAGATGGACTCAGTGGCCGAGTGGATGACGCTATGGCGTTTGAAGTGAGGGTACTGGGTTCGAGTCCCAAAGTGGACATCAACTCTGAGATGCAGGTACATCCAGCTGACGAGTCCCAAATAGGACGAAACGCGCATCCTGGATTCCACTGATAGCCACTATCCATCTCTGCTTATCATGCTTGTGAATTAAGGTATATCGAGGCAATACGCAACTCCGCCTGTAGCTCTTCTAGAGTTACTGCCGGTCCCAAGCCCGGGTAAAGGAGGAGGGTTGGGCATGGGGTTAGCGACCCCATCCCGTAGAAAAGCTAACTCGCTAAAAAAACGCTAACCAGAAAAAATAATTCAAACCATTTAAACTCTGCCCTAAGAGTTGAAGGAATAAATATGACGTCTCATGATGAAAGCCGAAATTCTTCGGAAGTCACGAGACCGATGCACCTTCTAACAACCAGAGCAACACTCTTTATAGGTACATGGAACGTCCGGACAATGTGGGAGACAGGAAAGACCAGCCAAATAGCAATGGAAATGCGGAGATACAACTTGGCAGTACTCGGAATCAGCGAAACCCATTGGACACAAACTGGACAACAAAGGCTAGGTACAGGAGAGATGCTGCTGTACTCCTGTCACGAAGG